TATTCTGTTAAAACTGCTGTTGAAGCTTTTGTTGTTCGCATAGCTTCACATCATTCAGCTAAAGCTGCCTTATTAGAGCATATGCAGAACTTCTCTTTAATGTCTCTTTCTCTCAATGGGACTCTAACTGAAACTCTCATTAATCTCTGAGAAACTATATGAGCAGGCTATTCAACCAAGCAACCCTTTGTTCAGTGGCTGCATTTTCTATCAGGGGTCAATTCCCACTATTGGGTTTTTGTTTGTTCGGGGGCGGTGGTGGTTTCTTCTTTCCCATTCAACTTTTAAAATGTTTCTCTTTCCAATGTGCTGTTTCCTAAGAAGATGAAAGAATTACTACAGTTTCCCGCTGGCATTGGGATAAAGCACTTATACAATGATAAAGTCATAAATGAGAATAGTTTAATATTACGTGTTTAAATTATGCACACTTAATATCAGGGAGGGAAAAAAATATAAATCTTGCACTAGCTTTGTCTTAAGATAAGGTTAGTTGATCTACCTGAAGAGATGAAGAATTGAATATAGAACCTTCTGCACCCAAACTATTGGCTTTCCTATCTATAGTTCTTTCTAGGCACCAATAGGACAGGAAAATATTTTCATTTGCATTTTATTTACACTTACAGCTCATCACTGAAACTGCCTTATGAATTCCTGAAAGATAATATTTTTAATTAAAAGGAACTTCTGTATAAACCGCTGTTGGGCTGTAGACTAGAACAAGGTGAAACTTGAAAAACATCCTAGATATGTCTGTCTATAGCAAATGATGTCCATAGTACTTTCCAGAAATTTACATGGATGCATCTCAGAAATCAGGAGGAGTGAAGCTTGACCTAAGAACTTGATTTAACAATGACAGCAACAACAGCATGATCCATCCCAGATCATTTGTCCCACTAATTTCAAAGGATGCTATTTGGTCATATACTTAACTTTCTCACTATACACATATGTTATAAAAAGTTTTCTCTGAATTCCATTGATCACAGATGTGCTTATTTCAATCTGTTTGTGTGCCTATCTGTCTGCCTACCTGTCTTTTTTAATCCATCCATTCTATTCTTCATTCTATGAAGGAAGGTGATTTTGGTGTCCCCTTCTGTTATGGGTAGTTTGAAGTTGATGTCCTACTCTCCCAAGTCATTTGGGGATTTTTTCCTATCACTTTTTTTTTATGGATAAGCCATCCTTAGTTATTATGGAGTTGGATGGCCTCAAAATTTTATCAAACAAACAAACAAACAAATAAAATTTATTTATTCATCCTCCTGGCATGCTGGGTCTTCCTGCTGTAGTTTTTCTTACACAAATTACACTTCACTTTGTCATCCTGTTTCTGAGGGTTCACCATGTTTGTTTCTCCTTCTTGCTCCGTTCTTTTAATGGAATATTTATTGATTACATTTTGGAGTGAAATAAATTCCTATGGCAGAAAGTTATGAATAAATTAGCTATATCATGATTAGCAAATAGAATTGATCTTGCTTCAATCATGCAGATTCAATTAGATATATTTGGAAGTTTGAAGATACCAGAACAGGTTCATTTAAAGGCAATTGAAACAGCCTGGCAGCAGTTTTGAACTGTCACTGTATTCTGCAGAATTAGAGATTGTGGGAGAGATTTAAGGTTTAAAGCTCTATCTAGTGGTCAAACAAAGAATTAGCAAGCTGAAGAATTTGAGTATTATTCTAGATAAATTCTTGCGTATTATTCTTTGTCCTGATACAAAATGAACGTTCTTTCATAGACATGTTAAAAGTATTTATTACAAAGAATCTATGCACTGTTTTATTTGACCAATATAAGAATGTTATTTTGCTTAGGAAATACTCAGCATATCTATGTAAAAACAGGGACACAGTCAGTTTTGAAGTTCAACTTTTATCTTGTAACATTTCAATATTTATAACTGGAAATAAGCATTCTGTATATTGGATATGATCATTCACAGGCACACTATTTTTTATATATAAGAAAATTCTTAAATCTATCAGTTGGGTATATTTAATTTTAATGATATTGTGTGGTATGCTATGCTATGCTATGCTATGCGATAGATAGATGATAGATAGATAGATAGATAGATAGATAGATAGATAGATAGATAGATAGATAGATAGATAGATAGATAATAAAAAAACCCCTATGGATTCATGAATATTTCTCACTAAATTCAACTGAATTTACTTTAAATGTGGATAGGACTGCAGTTTTGAGAATATATTGCTAGTTTTCAGATTTTAGTAACCATTTGCTGAAATAGAAGATTGATAACTTTATCAAAATTTATAGCTTTATCAAAAGGTGAACAAAAACTAAATCAAAATGATGTATTCATTCTCAAATTGCATTATTATTATGTTAGTTTTTTAACATACTAATCCAGGAACAACATTAATTACTGGTAGAATTTTAGTCGATCAACTGATTTAGCATTGGCTTTGTTCGCATATAATAAGTGCCAGGATTCTTTTTAAATCAGAGTTTGCTGACCAAACCTTAATGATCACGTTTTCATTCTATAGTAACATTAAACCACAATGAGGATTTTCACACAGCCTGCAAGTCAAACAAAGTATTCACTTTTTGTTTTAATGTGATGCATGAGCCCAGTCACTGAGCAACAGGAAAGCAGGAGAAATTTCCTTTTTAAAACTACACAGTTCAAAGGAACCTCCTAAGCATATAGCAGCTTTCAGGAGCCTGGCTCTCTCCCAGCCTGATAGAACAACTTCTTGCATTCTGATTGGACACCAGGCATTCCTCCTTCTGACCCGTTTGGAATTTGGGGTTTGGAATTTTCATCATCATAAAACTTTGCTTGGCTAATTAAGCCAATCTTCATCTTCCCATATTGTTTTGCAAGCTAAAATTGGCTACTCTGAAGGGTTAAGAAGAATAGGCAGTCCTATTTGCCCTGGAGTGCCACCCTGAGGTTCAGGATGCAATTTCTTTCCTCAGATGTTTACATTGATGGGCAAGCTTGTATTAGGAAGGTTGTAGCTCTCTCTCTGTGTGTGTATTTGTGTGTGTGTGTGTGTGTGTGTGTGTGTGTATGTGTGTATGTGTGTGTGTGTTGGAAACATGCGTAAGAGGCATTCATCCTGCAGTGGATATATACACACACACACACGCGCACACTCACTCACTCACTCACACACACACACACACACACACACACACACACACACACACATTGGGGTTAGCTGTATTATCAGCTCCAAATTGGTATATATTCTCATATATACATGCCTCTTCCGCATGTTTTTTTAAATAATATTGTATTAATTTTCCAATTTTACATCTGAGTATTGAAAAAGCAACTTGGTGACTGGGTTAATCAACAGTTCAAGAACAAAATCTTTAGTGCAAATCTCAGGTTACCACATCAGCTATTCCTTCTCTTTTTCCCTTAACATTTACTGTCTCGTATTCAAGCTAGTACATTTCTTAATTATATCAACTCAATAAAAAACATCATTATTACATTTATCAATATTTTTTTTTAGCTTGTACATATCTTAATTACATACAATTTTCATAAAAAATCCATATCCTGTTATTTCCAACCGATAAGATCCTGAGCTTTCTTTTCCTTATATATATAAGAAAGAATTCTTATACACACACACCCCACCCCCACCCCCACACACCTATTTGGAGCTGATCATATAGAAATAGCTAATTTACAGTTAGGTATGGATTTTTGAAAAGTGCCTTTATATTGCCTGTTTTCTAGAACTGAAGAGCACAAGCACCCCCTTTCCCTCACGCGGGCTGCCCTGCAGATGCTGTTCTTCGTTTTGCAGCTTTCCGCAATTCAAGGCGCTGTTGCATCAGCCGACGCGCTTGGGCACCTTGGGGAACAAAGACGGCGGGACGTGGGGGGGGGGGGAGGAGGAGGGAGAGGCGATTTTCCGGGTCATTTGGCAATTGCATTCAGATTTAAACTTCCTTTAATCGCCCCGCGGTTCTTCTCTCCCTCCTTCCCCCAAATGTGTGGTCCCTGGCGCGTAACCGCCCTTCGCCTTGCTCCTCTACTGTCGACAGATGCCCGCGTGGAAAGGAAGCTCTATTTTTTTGCACGGGTTGCACGCAACGGTGTATAGGTGTGCAAATAACAACAACAACAACAACAACAAAAACCCCGAATACAATCCCTTCCCAGCCAAACAGGCTTTGCTCTCGTTTTTTGAGGAGGGAGGGAGCAGGGTGGTGGTGGTGGTGCGATTTTGTAAAAAGCCCCCGTTTCTTTGCTTTCTCTCTCCCTCTCTCCAGAGGTTCCCGGCACTTCTGCTTTGCAAGCCGACCTCGCGGCTGCGGCGGCTGCTATCCTTTAACGCCTCGGGACTTCAACGGATTGGGAGGGCAGCCGGGTAGGGGAAGGAAGAGACCCCCCGAGCGGCTTCGGAAAGAGAACCCCACCGGCGAGGGTGGCTTTCCTCTCCCGCGGCCGACCCAAGGCTGCCCACCCAACCCCAGGAAGGCGAGGCGAGTTAGGGGGGGGGGGAGAGTGCTGGAGATCTGGGAAGCCGTCCCGACTCCCCGGTTAAACGAGAGCTGCTACGTCCCGGAGCAGGACAGAAGCTGAAGCCCGAAGGGTGTCCCCCTGGGCAGTGATGTCATCCAGATCAATACGACGGGGCGGGAATTGGCCGGAGCACTTGCTCAGGGAGCGGGGTCTGTATTGGAATCGGGACTCGCCTTATCGATTGGGCCGATCGGCCAGAGCTATAAAAGGAAGGGGCTCGCCTGCGGCTTCCCACCATTCGCTCCCGAAGCCCCTCCATCCCCCCCCCCCCGGCTGGGCTCTCTCTCTCTCTCTCTTTCTCCCTCTTCCCCATCCCCAGCGCAGGAACCTCGCGGCGCGGTGCTCACGGTCCCTCGGCTTGGAGGGAAGCCCCCCCACTTCTCTCTCTCTCTCTCTCTCTCTCTCTCTCTCTCTCTCTCTCTCTCTCTCTCCTCCACCACGAGCCACTCGTTCTGCTAGGATGGGGATGCAGGTCTGCAAAGCCGGCGCCGCGCCCCTGGTTCTGCTGGGCCTTTGCTTCGCCGCGGCGGTCAAGTCGGTGCCACTGGCCGATGCCGGACCGCACGTCTACTACGGCTGGGGGGACCCCATCCGGGTCAGGCACCTCTACACGGCCAGCCGGCACGGACTGTTCAGCTATTTCCTGAGGATCCACGGCGACGGCCGAGTGGACGGCGCCGCTAGTCAGAACCGACACAGTAAGTAGCATCAACGCCGCGCCGACCCGGGTCCGTCCTCCCACTTTCCGCGGGGTCCCCCTCCCCCGCTTTTGGAAGCTGACGCTTTGGCTCGGGGAGCTCCCCTCGGCTCGCTGCGCCTTAACCCCAGCCGTTCGCCCCCCCCCCCTTCCCCGCTTCCTTCTCTCGTGGCCCTTTGGATCTGCGCTCCCACGAGACGCGAGGAAAACCCAGATCCTGAAAGGGGGTCGGGGTGGGGGGTGGGCTTTTTCTGCTCCCCTGATCACGCCGAGGACTTTGGTGGGGCCACCCACCCGATTGCTCTCTCGTCTTTACAGAGACCCCTGCTTTTGTTCACGGGCTCGGTCTAGCCTTCCCGTGGAAGACACGCGTCTGAGTGGAGGGGGGGGAAGAGGGACCCTTTCCTTTCCTTTCCTTTCCCCAAGGGCAGGGGTAGGCAACCTTGGCTCTTTTATGACTCGTGGGACTTCAACTCCCAGAATTCCTGAGCCAGCATAGCTGGCTCAGGAATTCTGGGAGTTGAAGTCCCACGAGTCATAAAAGAGCCAAGGTTGCCTACCCCTGCCCAAGGGCTATTTTCCCTCCCACGGAGCACAGGAACCCTACAAAACAGTTTTGTTTGTCCCGCCGCGCAGGTTTGCTGGAGATCCGAGCAGTAGCGCTTCGCACCGTAGCCATCAAGGGCGTGCACAGCTCTCGCTACCTGTGCATGGAAGAGGAAGGCGGGCTGCACGGGCTGGTAAGTGACTCGAAGCTGCGTAAAAAAAAAAAAAACCCGGGGGGGGGGGGGGGGGGGGGGGGGGGGGGGGGGGGGGGGGGGGGGGGGGGGGGGGGGGGGGAGAGACTCGGACGGAGTTGCGCCAAAGGTCCTTTAAACGAGGCGGGAAGGGAACGCGCTTTAAAGTTCTTTAAAGTAAAGGTTGTAGCGTGAAAGAAGTAAAGGTTGTGGCTTCTTTAAAGTAAAGGTTGTAGCGTGAAAGAAGGAGGTTTAACTTTCGAGGCGATTTGGGCTGGCCAGAGAAGAAGGACGGGGCGGTGGAGAGGTGGGGGGGCTTCACACAGGAGCGCCGAGCGTTGCAGGAACACTGGATAATTTATACTGGATTTTGGAGCGAATAATGGGATGAAAGAGGACAACGGTCTTGTTGGGCGCTACTTCTGCAGCGCCGCTGTGGCAGCTCACAGGCGGACCCAGCCACATTCCAGAACTTAAAGTCTACAGAGTTACTATTTGTTTACGTTTCTTTGGGGACCTGTTTTCGGGGCGCCAGGCAGAAGATAGATCCTTATCGCGCCCTGTCCTCACGGTAACCTTTGAGGGAGGGGAGGCTGAGAAATAAGCGCGTAAATCCCTTTAGAGGCCACCCACTACGTTTGCTGGCTCGTTAGAGATTTCTGACTGGGTTTCCCCCCCCCCCCCCCCAATCCCTGCATCCAAATACAAGCTCTCCATCCCTGGCATTGCAGTCACTTTCAGAAAAGACTCTGGGGCCTTGCATTCTTCATTGCCTAATGTCAGCTCCCGGTGATCCCGGTTTCCTTCTATTCTATGCCAGAAGGCATAGATTCACAAAAGCTTTCTGTTGGTTATTCACCTTTACTACCCTGGGAGGGGGGAGGATTATTTCATCGTACAGGTGGCTAGGTGGAAAATAATAAAAGTTAGGTTCTATTTCTGATCAGTGAATGAGACCCCTTTACATGGTGTGTACCCTTTCCATTGTGTTGGTAGCAAACACACAAGTTGCACAGGAGCTAGAGCTGGTATTACAGCAGAATCCAAGGGACAGTAAACTTAACTATTGACTCCCATCTGCTGGTCATCTGGATCTTTGCAGCACAGGTGTGGCACACTCTGCAAACCGATTTTTAAAAAGCCTGCAGGAAGGGGAGTGTTGCAGACTAGTAAGCAGGATAAATAAGAATAAACAGAACGCTTGCTGTCTCTGGCTACCGCAACCTTTGAGCAGCAGTAATGTGCTATGTAATGGCTCAGTAGCAGAACAGTAGACGAGATGTAGAACTCTTTTTATTTAGATTTAAAAAGTCCAAATGGCCAGAGTTATAGATAAAAAAAATTCTTTTATAACTGGTAATGAATAAAGCACTTAAATATTAACTTAAATACTTTGGATCTTTTTTTTTTACTGTTTTCTCCACACCAAGTATAGGTATTAGGTAGCATATAAGATTAATAATAAAGAAGTATAAATAAAGAAATAAATATCCTAGGAAATACTGATAAGTAGCAATGGTCATGCTCCCCATACCAAATCAGCATTACATAGCTCCCGCAATTACCCAAATGTAACTGCTCACCAGAAGTTGTTCTGCCCTATTGAAATTAATATTCCTAATGCAATTTCAAATAGGAAAATGAGTATACAGCAAGTTGCAGTACATTAAACTAGAGCCCTCATTCAACTAACCTAAGGAGGGAAAGAAAACCCCTCCATTTTTAATTCTTTTGTTTTCATTGATCTTCTAGCGACTGAATGCGTAGTTGATGACACAGCAATATTTTGACTCATTTTTGGCTGGGAAGGGCATTCTTCACTGCTTTAAAGCATAATTTTATCAATTTACACTCCAGGATTTTTTCCTGATCATCCCAGACTTGGGATTTTCCCATACAAGTAACTGCTTTACTTCTGCTGTATATGTAGGTGCATTTCCATAGGTAATATATATCTATTTAAAATGCTTCTTATGTGTTCTTAAAGGCATAACTTTAGATAATGACAATCACTGCTTCCATTCATAATGCTCCGACTGTTACATTAAAATTCACTTCCTTTCAAAAGTGAAAATACGTCATATGCTAAAAGTTAGCTTTTCAATAGTAAATAGAAATTTAAGCAGAGGGCTTCAAATCTGATGTGATTTCTGCTTGTAAACAACAATAATACCGTTTAAAGCTGTCTCGTCATTAAAATAAGGATTAGCATTTATCCTCCCAAAGTATTGCTTATCTGTGTAATTTTGTGCAATTATACCTATTTAGAACTAAACCTTCCTAAGCATACCACTAAATACACTCCATTAAACTCTGAATTGTGAGGTTGTTTTTATTTTAATTAACCAATTAATCAATAAAATAAAACAGACTATAGTCTTATATACCACAAAGGTGCAATTGTTTGGTGGCCCGTGGCCACGATAATTGGGACAATTTACTTATTGCTTGTATTTCTCCTTTCTTCCAAGTGCTTAAAAGCAGTGTTCATAGCATCCACTTGTCCAGTTTTCTTTACAAGCCTGCAACGTAGTTTTGCCTGAAAGATAAGGAACAGCCCCAAATATTCAGTGATCTTCCATAGCTGAAGCAGGGTTTTAAATCAGGGTTTTCCCAGTCTTAGTCTAACATATTGGAGCAAGATTTTCTGTATTTCCCTGGGTTTATCATGTTGGTGGGAGGAGTTTTGGATTTACTTCTTTAAACCGTTGAGCCTATTGTAGGCCCTGCCCTACAATTTTTGCAAAGTTTTCCTACTCAGTTCCTACCATACTCAAAATGGTGGCAAAGCATGGTACTGGTTTTCAAAGTGGTGCTATTAAGTGATTTTCATGACAGCAACTTCACATTTCAAGCCGTTTGCTAATCTTGACAAAGAGTAAAGCATGTTTTCCAAATGACTGACAGCCCGAACTATTGGTGAAGTAGCAATTTTAAATCTATTTTGTCTCTTTGAAGCGATTCTGCTATAAAATATTCAGCAATAATTGATGGGTGGTGGGTGATGGGATTTTTTTCAGTCTGTTTTGCATGTCAGATAAATGTATGGTTCAGATGCTTGACTGAGAAAGAGCTTGTGCAAGAATACCGTTTCTCTTATCATTGAAGCATTCTACGTAATCAGCAATACTTTTTCATTGACCAAGAGTTCAGTTACCTCTAATGACTGAACCAGAGTAACACCAGAGTTTTAGGAAAAACAACAGTAGCACAAAGGGACTAAAACTTTCTGAAATGATGGCCACATTCTTCATAGTGTTAACATTTCTGAATTAAGAATGAAACACCGTAGTTTCTTTTGCTCTGAATAGACAATATAATGAATGTTTATTCCATTACATCACCAGACAAGTTTTATTCCAGCTTTCCCCAATTTGGTGCTCCTGAGTTTCAGTTTCCAGCAGAATGTCCAGTAATTTTGGAGAACAAAAGTTCAATTAGGGCTATTGGATATGAGTTGGAAAAACATGGATGAACACGAGAGGGCAGGAAAGAGAGTTTTCTAAAGGTCTTTCTGACTTTCTAGTGATTTTTAAAGTCTGTTACATGACTAAGTCTGTGGGAATTTCCTAGTGGGAAGGCACTGTGGTTCCCACCAAATAAAAATACATACATAAAATGTATATTTCTTAAAAGGCAAACCCTCTCCCCCAACAACTTATACAGGTAGCCCTTGACTTCCCGCCACAATTGAACCTAAAATTTCTGTTGTGAGACGGTTAAGTAAGTTTTGCCCCATTTTACCACCTTTCCTGGCACAGTTGATAAGTGAATCTGGCTTCCCCTTTAACTTTGCCTATCAGGAGGTCACAAAACGTGACCACATGATCCTGGGACACTGCAACCGTCATAAATAGGAGTCAGTTGCCAAGTGTCTGAATTTCAATCACATGACCAGGGGGATGCAGCAACAGTCATCAGTGTGAAAAACGGCCATGTCACTTTTTCAGTGCCACGGTCACTTTGAACCATCACGGTTGTAAGTTGAGGATTACCTGTATTTCTGTTAGGTTGTTCTGGAGTATGTATTGAGAAACAGACCCATTACCAACTGTAAAAATGGCTGAATGGCACCGTCCTTAAGCAACTATTGTGCAAAGGTTGCTCTGGCATCATCGAATACAATATGCAATTTTTATGGCCCAAGGTTTGCAGCTAATCTGAGTATGCCGGGCTATTTTGCCAAAAGTACTTATACTATTTCATTTATAGTTAATACAACTTAAATGTAATTGATATGACTAATTCCAAGCATTGTATTTAATAGTTTTCTATTTCTGTTACATTAAAAATTAATGTTGGTAATGTCTTTTGTTGATCTTTGAAGGCTGCAACTAAGACTTCCAGGTTTAATTCCACACTAGAGCCTTATGTCACATATCTCTGGAATAGCCTTTATAACAATCTTTATTCCATTATTTGCATAATTCAAATTTTTTGCATCTGTGTTTTTTTATAGAATATAGAAATCCTCATAATCTAGGGCAAGGGTAGACAAACTGGTATGCACCAGATTGTTTTGGCTATAATTCTAACAATTGTTTACCATTAGCCATGCTGCTAAAACTATTGAGAACTGAAGCTCAAAATATCTGGAAGTTACCTGATCTAAGCAGATGCCGAACTGAGATACTGAAAGGGCATAAGTAAATCAGATTGACACTGCTTATTTGCTCCATTAGGTGGTTAAAAAAAGAAACTCATTCAGTACTTTAACCCATAATTAAGACTTGCATGACAACATTTTTATCATGCTCCAGTCTCATTTACTATGAAACTTTCTTTGTTGTTTTCCATATTAGTCCGCACAAAAGCATTCAGACCGAGCTATGATAATTCCTTTATTTTTTTACGCATAGTGAAAACAAAGCATGAGCAATAAATTACTTGATGGGCAATCAGGAATTAAAAATATTTCTTTCCTTCCCATCAAATAAAACTGGAGAAATCAAAATGAACCTTGTTGTAAAATTGATCACCATCCCTTAGTAACCTGTTACAGACTATATATTTAAATGCTTCTTATAACCTGATTTATAAATACCTCCTCTTGTTTCTTCTTGAGATCCCCTAAGATTATTTTTGCTCTGCGAAATAAGAAATCCAATTTAATCTCTCTAAGGAATATCGTATTTAATTATCTTGTAGCCAAACAGATAATTCCACTGATTATCTGGATAATCTGCCATTTCAGAGACTTATAAACTCATGCAGTATGTAATAATGTTTACTTTTTCCCCCAGCTCATATATACCACAGAGAATTGCTCTTTTGAAGAGGAGATACGTCCAGATGGCTACAACATCTACAAGTCAAAGAAATATGGAATTCTGCTGTCTTTAAGTAATGCCAGGCAAAGACAACAATACAAAGGAAAAGACTTTCTTCCGTTATCTCATTTCCTACCTATGATGAACACTGTGCCAGTGGAAGATTTTGGAGAATATAGTGATACCAGGCAAAATTTGGAATCTGGTATTTTTCAACAACCAGTTAAAACTGACAGCATGGATCCCTTTGGTATCACTTCTGAAGTGTCCTTAGTACAGAGTCCTAGTTTTGGTTAGTAACTTCTCTTTCTTTAATTAGATTTTATAAAGAGGTTATGAAGAGGTTAGGATTGTATTTTTTTGAAGTGATAACTTAAAATATGACAAACGTGTAGATAGGATTACCCCCTTTGTAAAGCAATACTAATTCCAAGAAAGCTACCCTCATTCACTCTCTTTCTCTGTCATCTATACAAACTACTTAGAAAAGTTCCTTCTAAATGTTTTATTTAGAAATGAGAAACATTCAAAGCCTGCAGAATTTCTTTTGTTTTGGAAGATCTTTGGACAGATAAACCCATAGAAATTCTACTGCTTCATTACTTCCAATTACCTCTGAGTCCCAATAACTGCTGCTCATTCAAAGAATGTGTAATTCCTATTCAATGTATATAGAATAGAATAGAATAGAATAGAATAGAATAGAATAGAATAGAATAGAATAGAATAGAATAGAATAGAATAGAATAGAGCTGGAAGGAACCTTGGAAGTCTTCTAGTCCAGCCCCCCCCTCCGCACTCAAGCAGGAAAACCTATACCAGTGGTGGCGAACTTATGGCACGCGTGCCAGAGACGGCACTCAGAGCTCTCTCTGTGAGCAAACGGGCCGTCGCTCCAGCCCCGCCTCCCCCCGTGGCCCCCTCCTCACCAGCAGCCCCTCTAGAGGAGAGTCGCCCCTGGGCGCGGCCTGCGCAGAGCAGTGCAGTCAAGAACATGGCAGCCGGGCAGCAGGGACAAGACTCCGCCCTCATGCCCTGTCACTGTGGGACACAGGTGGAGGGCGTGGCCACCATGGTGCTGCTGAGCCGCCTGGGCGATCTCCTGCGGTGGGCCATGGAGGCGGTGGGTGGCCCTGCAGGCAGGTGAGGGTGGGACAGAGCGGGGCGGGTCAGGGGGTTGGGTGGTTTTTGGGCACTCGGTCTCTAAAAGGTTTGCCATCACTGACCTATACCATCTCAGACAAGTGACTGTCCAGTCTCTTCTTAAAAACCTCCAGTGATGGAGTGCCCATGATTTCTGAAGGCAAGCTGTTCCACTGGTTAATTGTCCTCACTGTTAGGAACTTTCTCATTTAAACAGAATAGTGTTAGAAGTAAATTAGCCAAACTAAGTAAACAAAAGGGACTTATGCATTTTGATACATGCTAGATCTCACAATGTTTTGCAGACTTTTGCTGTGTTTTAAGGAAATTGGCTATTGGGAGGTAATTATCATAATTAAGGTAATATAAACTTCAACTAATAGGAGAAATTAAATAATAGCGCTGCCATGTTTTAGCAAAACAATGTTTGTTGCTAAATGGTATAAAGACTTTCCAGTGATGTGAGTTTGATCAGGAACAATTGCAATGGTGTGAAGAGCTAAAGTTTTGAAAAAATACAACTAGTTAGGCTGCTATCTGGGAAAGCAAGCAAAAAGTGATGCAGCTAAATTCTTCTGATTTCTCTGTAGATTGTCAACAAGTGTCTATTTTGCTTACTAAACAATGTTGTAAAACTAAAATGTGTGCTTCTTTAGACATGCCAAAAAATGTAAAATCTCTGTTCAGTTTTAATCATTCACTTACAGATTGAATAACTCTGTCCAAACAATTTCTTTTTCAATGAAAATAACATTAATTCTCAACAAACATAGATAGCTACATTTTCTCCCAACCAGTTACTTCCTGATGTGCTGTGACTGAATTCCCAGAGTTCTCAGACACGGCCTAATTCATCTCAGTAGCTCCAGGTGGAAGAAGACAGGCGGAATAGATAAAAGCGGCCATTTCCTTTGGGAGATGCTTTGGATGTAGTCCAGTCTGTTTTAAATTCCTACCGAAAGTGATGCAGTATAATTCACATTAAAATTAGCAGTAGTTCCCAAAGGTGTTGTTCAAAAGGACTTTCTTGGGTTTTTTCCCCCTTCAAAACGTTTTGCTTCTCATCCAAAAAGTTTCTTCAATAAGAAATGAAATGTTTTCAAGGAAAAAAAAACAAGAAAAGCCTTTTGAACAATATCTTTGGGGCAACCATGACCTGGATGACTGGGAATCTCCATAGATATTTAGCAGGATTTTATATATATATATATATATATATATATATATATATATATATATTGTATGACATTTTACAAGTTAAGATTTCAATCATTACATTTTGGAAATTTGAAATAATGTTTGGGACATTATTCTTTTTAAAAAGTTATTGTATATAATAAGGTTGTATAGAAATCAGAAGAAAGCATTTTCTTCAACTAGCACTTCATTGTCAATGCTCTATTTATGATTAATTTATTAAACACATACATCCGTTTATTTTCTTACTGTATTTATACTTAAATGTATATTTATGTATTCCAATTTTGCCTTTTTGAACACTGGATAATATGTAGTGGATTTTTGTAATCGTAAAATGGTAAAAAAACAAATCTTTAAGAATTATGTGTAAAAACTTTAGTTGTAGTGTGTAACATTTTAATAGAAATAAAACATTATAAAGCACATGTCACCTGACTTCCTTTAAGTGATAACATATGGTTTAACCTTTGAAATACATTTAGCTAGTAAAAATTGGATAATTGTGATCTGAACATATTTTGCGAGTCACTCAAACATGCATACAATTTTGTATTCAATTTGATTCAGGTTTTAAACAACTATCCAGCACACATTGAGATCTTGTCTGCAAATATGATGATTGTCTCTCCTCCCGCTGGTGTCTCAAAAGGTTTTATCTCTTTATCTATCTTTTCTGGATAGTTTCAAGACAATTGTTGCAACTTTCAATACTCATATACTTGCCTCTTTATAGTAGCTGGATTTTTTTTTTAGAATTTGAAAGGCAATGATTCCATTTTGATTTGTAGGATAGATTTATATGGAAGATTGCCAGTACAGATTAACATGGCATTATTTATTATTACTTGTCTAATTTATATAGCTGCTCATCTCACCAAACAAATGACTCCAGTAGCCTTCTAACCGTACCTTTGTAACATAGTGGTTAAAGTTGCTGCCCACAGCCTGGAGTTCGATCCTGTCAGAGCTCAAGATTGACTCAGCCTTCCATCCTTCCGAGGTCGGTAAAATGAGAACCCAGATTGTTGGGGGTCAATATGCAAATGATGCTTCTATATTGTAAACCACCCAGAGAGTGCTGTAAAGTGCTATGGGGCAATATATATGTCTAAATGCCATTGCTATTGCTATTGTATGGCCTCACAATTCAAAGGAAGCCTGGAATATCCACAATGGATTAGTCAGTCAATGATGCAGTCTTGAGTAACATGTGGCAAGTGTCTTAAAAATTCTGTTCTAGAAAGAAGGTCTTCCTGTCCTCCAGCAATGCTGATGTAGTACTCAATTTCCTTTGATGTATTCAGTAAAGACTACAAGATAAGATAAAGCAGAAGGAATTGTTTGTTTCTGCACTGCAAGGTTTCTCCCCACCCTCATAAACACAAACGTGTTCCAAGTCCTAGGTTATTTCTTTCCCTTAAGCAAGGAATCGTATTGCCTTGAACTATGTAATTATTTTAACTGCCGGTTTTTAAATTTTATATTAAGAGAAAACTGAATGAAATTCAATTTCCAATTTGCCTTGTCCGTCCCCCAAAAAAGCATTCCTCCCCTTTTCATTACAGATATGATTACAGGATGCAGAATAGCCTAACATTATTTTTTTGTAAGGCACTCAGAGTCACTGAGAGTTAGTGGGGCAGCCGTATACGTTCTCTTAAATAAATAAGAACCAAAATAAATATTACACTTATTTGGCTGTATAGAAATAAATCAGATTGGCAGTTTTAGTAGATAGTTCAAAAATGAAACCTGCAATATATAGGCAGTCCTCGACTTACAACAGCTCATTTTAATGACTGAAGTTACAACGGCACTGGAAGAAGTAATTTATGGTCATTTTTCACACGGCCACTGCAGCACCCCCCCCCACGGTCACGTGATCAAAATTTAGATGCTTGGCAACTGGCTCATATTTAGGATGGGTTGCAGTGTCCCGGGGTCAAAATCAATGGGGGCAGCCAGATTCACTTAACAACAATGTTACTGACTTAACAACTGCAGTAATTCACCTAACAATTGTGTCAAGAAAGGCCTTAAAATGGGGCAAAACTCACTTAACAAATGTCTCACTTAGTAACAGAAATTTTGGACTCAATTATGGTCGTAAGTCGAAGATTGTGATGCTGAATTTATTCTCCTATCAAGATAAGCTAAGGATGCTATCCTTCTATGCCCTCATCTAGCATTTTAGGTTTTTTTTAAAATAATTTTTCCCTAACTTTCTGCAAAATTCCCAAGCAATGAAATATATTGTCTTTGCCTTTTTCTGCTTGCCTTGGCGCTCTCTGAGCTTGATTGTTTGCTTGCAGACATTTCATTACCCAACTAGGTAACATCGTCAATGCAATGTCTGTAAGCAAAGGCACTGATAATGTTACCTAATTGGGTAATGAAATGTCTCCAGGCAAACAATCACGCTCAGAGAGCACCAAGGGCTCCTTAGTTCAACTACATACATACTCTTTCTGCTTAAGTCTTCATTTTTTCACCATTACCAAAGGAGTTAAGACCTCCCCCTTCAGCTCGGCCTTTTAAGTCTACTAAGGCTTATTTTAATTATTGTTGCCTTTTAAAATTAACTTAGAGAGGCATATTATTTTTTTCTGCCCAGTGCTCACAAGGGAAGGAAGGGTACAAATTGAAACTATTCAACATGAGATAACTACTAAGCACCTCTCTCTCTCTTTCTCTCCTCTATGCTTCTGATTTATTTATTTATGAGATTTACGAAGACTTACATTTCTAACTATTCAAAGGAGTGTTCAAGAAGACAGGAACAAAATGCAAAACTGCCCAATACATAATATTATTACAATAATCTTGTATGTGGATCTAATCACAGGTCCAGAACAAGCAGGTTTGTGAGCCAAGTTTTTACAACTTTCAGGAAGGTTGCAAAAATGGGGAGCACAAGCCATTCCAGAACAGCTCCCACAAAATATGCCTCCTTTATCTCCCCCTTCCCTCATTGTACCTCTCAGTAGGTAGGGATCTTCTACAGGCATTCTGTTTACTCAGAATGGATAGGTTAAGCAGTCTTATAGATATCAAATCCCTGAGCCATAAAGAGCTTTATAAGTATAATCACCACCTTGAATTGCATTCAGAAAGCCATTGCTAGCCTATGCAACTCCCACAGGAATGGTGTTACATGGCAATAATGAAGTTGTCCAGTAAGCACCAGGGCCATACTATTTTACCCCAGCTGGAGTTTCTGGGTGGTCATCAAGAACAGCCTTATGTAAAGCAAATTACAATGATCCAGGCATGCGTGATATCATCAGTGGAATACTTCTTCTATGGAAAGAAAACCAGAATTTATGTACTGGATGGAGCTGGGCAAAGACCCTCCAGGCCATGGATTCCATATCCAGATCCTCTTTTTTTTTTTTTGAGAACAGCTGTAGAGAACTGAGGACTCAAAAATTATAGTCCTGCTATCCTTAGGAGAATGTAACCCCCTGAAGAACCAATGATGGTATAAACCCAGAATCAACAAGCTTTTTAGTAAATAGCTATTTTGTCTTGCTTGGGTTGAATCTGATTCTCTCTCTCTCTCTCTCTCTCTCTCTTTCTCCCTCCCTCCCTCCCTCCCTCCCCCCTCTCTCTTTGCCTATCCAGAACCTAAAAGATCTGGATCAAAGACCTTGGATCATGACTACCACTGCAATTTACCATAGAAATATATTGGGAGCCACCTAGAGTTTGGCATAAGATAGGTGGCTGCATAAATGTTTTAAACAAACAAATATACAACTGGGTATTATAATTTTACTAATGATACCTTACCCTGAACTGGCAGATTACTTCTGGCATATAAATGTTAACATATAAACATTAAGCAGGATGCTATACTGTAATTGCAGTTCCCTGCTACTTACTTATTTACTTATTTACTTATTTATTTACTTACTTACTTACTTACTTATCTATCCATTTTGCTTCTAAGTGATCACAATTTATTTATTTTACTTATTTATTAAATAGATGTATATGGCTGCCTAACTCAGCATGGTGTTTCTAGAAGGCTTACAAATTTAAAAATCAACACTATAAAACCCACCCATGCACCCTGGCAGTGACAAATGCAATCATACAAGCCACAGGATCAGCTCTGAACCAACTTGGGATCCCCAGGCCTGTTGACAGAACCATGTCTTCAGGGCCTTCCAGAAAAGTAGCAAAGATGGCGCCAAACTTATTTCCAAGAGATTGATGTATTAAAGGGAGGAAGGCACTACAGAGAATTTGGGTTCAATTCTATTGACAGTCATCATCTGACTTTACTACTAGAATGAATGTTAAGTTCTTAAGGCACAATTCTTTAGCATGTTTGTTCAACAGACAGTTCATTGTGCAGATTAACTTCAACTTAAGTAAACATAAAGTCCAGGCTGAACATACAAACTGTAAAAGAAGAGGCAGGCAAGACATCTGCAGCTAAAATTTAGCCTCCAAGAGCACAGTGACAACTGTATGAAATCCACAATGCAAGTAAGAATAAATGTTCAATTCATTAACTCAAATTTTGCAGGAATTGCTAGGGCTTTCAAAATGAGAATTGTGCCATCAAGTCTTTTTCTTTTGTGTTGAGTTGTGGAGGGGGGGGTCCACTGATGCCCCCTCAAAGTTCCTGGACACTACAGACTGGAATTGCTCACATTTATTTTAAATTTAAATAGTACAGGGCACTCTTTCAATTATTTCAAATTGCTCTTTATTTTTGAAAATAAATTGCTTAAACATATCCTGGCAAAAATAAAGCACAAAATTGCAAAACAAAAAACAAAAAACAAACATACATTGGTGTTTAAAAGTTTTGAACCCTTTTGAATGTCCAATATTTCTGCATAATTTGACCTAAAATGTATCTGTTCTCCACACAGCAAAAGCCATATAGTAGCACACACCTTAGTTAGCTTTCCAGGTGAAAGTTATACATTCTTTCAGTTTTCTTATAAACACTTACAAGTAGCTGAAGTGGGTGTTTACAGAAGGAAGGCCTGACTGATACGGTTAGAAAGATTACTCTTTCTTGTTTCAAGAGATGTGATTATGTATGTATCTGACCAAGGCACTTTAATGGTTATGTCTAGGGCGTTTAGCACTTGATAAACAATTGAAATATCCATAGAGAATCTTAAGAAAGAAAGAAAGAAAGAAAGAAAGAAAAAGAAAGAAAGAAAGAAAGAAAGAAAGAAAGAAAGAAAGAAAGAAAGAAAGAAAGAAAGAAAGAAAGAAAGGGGAAGGAGGGAGACTGAATCCAGGATGAGGCAATAATGAGGGGATTGGATTTAGATGCAGAGACTCAGGTTCAAGTTCCAGTTTAGAGATGGAATTCACTAAATAATCAAAAGAAAATCATATTTTTTCTCTTAACCTAACTTATCGGTATTATTCAATCATGGACGTATTAATTGTTATTTGTAAAGCAGTGTAAGTCCTTGGGGAACAAATACAACTTTCAGAGTCTTTTGTGAGATTGAAGACTTTTGGAAGATGGAGGATTGTAAAAACGGCTGTCCAGCTGTCTCTGTTTATTAGGCCTACATCCCACCTTTTGTTCAAGGACTCCTGATGATGTACATAGCTTTCTGTTCTGCTATTTCCCAGATAACTATAAGGTAGATTGCAGACAGGAAAAATGGCATGAGGTACTAGATAATGAATTTACTGCCTGGGAGACAGGCTGACTCAGTTGTGTTTGGAAATAGTTATTCTTTCCTGACCACGGCCTGTAAAAGCCATTTGCTTCCCTCTGAAGCAAACTTGAGAATACCAACAAGAATACTGATGGGAAATAAGAAAAATCTCCCCTCCTTTGGGAAAAAAACTAAGATAATTTGAGGTGCTTATGCTAGTTCCATTTTAATTTAGACAGAGAAAGGCTATGAGCAGCTTCAAGAAATCAAAGTGATGCTTTGTGGTGGTGATGATAGCAGTAAAAACATTCCAGCCAAGCTACAAAGATAATGTTTTCTGGCAAAGGCTGAGAAAGGTGGAAGGTAGGAGAAGGGGATGACTGGCTGTAAGATCTCAATAAGGATTCAGTTCAGTGGTAGCATTCAGCCAGTTCGCACCACTTCGGCAGAACCAGTAGCTAATTTTTTGTTGCCCAGGACCAGAATGGACTTCCGGAAGCGGCATCCACGCAGAGAACCGGTTGTTCACATATCTGAATCCCACCACTGACTCAGTTGCTGCATGAGTCAGCGGCAACTGACTAAATGGTCGGTGGTCAGATCACCAAGGAGAAAAGCTATGTGATTTGATGGCATATAATTAAGCAATCACTTTCACATTTATTGTAATCTTCAATTTTTGTAAATTGGTACTGTAATCCTGTTGAAAGAAAAGAAAAGAAAAACCCAGTTGGCCTATTTAACTATCTGAACTGCTCTACAACAATACATTTGCTCAAACAGTAAAGAATGAAAAAAAAGAAAGCCATGGAAGATTTTTTTCCCGTTATTAAACCAATGTAGTAGATTACCGATCCTCAAATTTGGCCACAGGAAGAACAATTTAAGGACAAAAGTATTCAAAACGGAGTCACGGATAATGGCAATACTGTATCATCTCTGCCAAGCAGAATTCGGAAAATGCATCCAGCAACAAAATCCATGCCGCAATAAGCGCCACCTGAGAAAGAGCTCGAGAAAGTCCGCGAAACCCAGCGAAACCCACGTTTCACTTTCTAAAGCAAACAAGATGCGCGCTCCCACGGCTCTGGCGAACCCAGGCCATCTGTTTTTCGAATGAAACGTGCTCCCTCTAGCGGCTAACAGGGGAAGCAACGGAGGCGCGCCGCCGAGAGACCTTCCCGACCTCCGAAAGCGAAATGTGCCGCCAGAAGCCTTTAGCTTGTGACGTGAGGCAGCGCCCTTTCGGAGCATGCGCAAGAAGGCCGCGTTTAGTTTGGTCCTTTCGGCTCGCCGTCGGTAGAAGAGACGAGCGGCGCAGCCGTTGAGGAATCGGCGGAAGCCATGGCGGCTGTTGAGGGGGAGCCCGACGTCTTGGATGCTATTGTCATGGCAGAAACGAGGTAGGCCATGTTCGTCACGTTGGCGCCGCCGCTTCCCGACGAGGAACTTCCCCCCTTTCGTTTTGGCCCTGAACGGAATGGGAAAGGCGTGTCTCTGGCCGCGGAGAAGGCCAAACGGGGCCGAGTAGCGGCATCCTCCCTTCAACGGCATCCTCTGCTTTAATGTCTCCCCCGCAGAAAGTGGGAGAAATTCGTTGCTGAGGCTACGCGGAATGAAGGTTTTCCTGCCAAGTGGCTCCCCCGGTACGATTCCGTTTGGTGAATGGTCGCTCTAGAAAGAGTGCAGAGAAGAGCAACAAAGATGATCAGGGGACTGGAGGCTAAAACGTATGAAGAACGGCTGCTGGAATTGGGTATGTCTAGTCTAATGAAGAGAAGGACGAGGGGGGACATGGTAGCAGTCTTCCAATATCTCAGGGGCTGCCACAAAGAAGAGGGAGTCAAGCTATTCTCCAAAGCACCTGAAGGCAGGACAAGAAGCAACGAATGGAAACTGATCAAGGAGAGAAGCAACCTAGAACTAAGGAGAAACCTCCTGACAGTTAGAACAATTAATCAGTGGAACAACCTGCCTCCAGAAGCGGTGAATGCTCCAACACTGGAAGTTTTTAAGAAGAGATTGGACAGCCATTTGTCTGAAATGGTATAGGGTTACCTGCCTGAGCAGGAGGTTGGACTTGATGACCTCCAAGGTCCCTTCCAACTTTATTATTATTATTATTATTATTATTATTATTATTATTATTATTATTATTATTATTATTATTATTATTATTACTTCCAACTTTAATCAATGCTTTATGGATAATTATTCCTAGAGGCAGTATAGATAGCAGTGTTCCAATATCTCAGGGGCTGCCACAAAGAAGAGGGAGTCAAGCTATTCTCCAAGGCACCTGAAGGCAGGATGAGAAGCAACAGATGGAAACTGATCAAGGAGAGAAGCAACCTAGAACTAAGGAGAAACTTCCTGACAGTTAGAACAATTAACCAATGGAACAACCTGCCTCCAGAAGCGGTGAATGCTCCAACACTGGAAGTTTTTAAGACGAGACTGGACAGCCATTTGTCCAAAATGATACAGGGTTTCCTGCCTGAGCAGGGGTTGGACTAGATGACCTCCAAAGTCCCTTCCAACTCTGTTATTCTGTTAACTATTCTGTTAACTTTTCTCTTGGACCTCTTGCTTTAAAATGTCCTCTGCTCCTCAAAGGTTGCTAAATTCCAGTTTCTGGCAGCATTATAGACTCCCCATTCTTGTTAGGCAGCACAACCAACCTGATATTCTTTGCACCAACTCTGAGTGTCCAGTTACCATGACTGGGTAAGAAGACTTGTGCAGCGCAGAGCCTTAGTCAATCTCTAGGCAGAATGTTCCATTTCTGCCCTCGAAGAAATCTGCAATTAGACTGTTTTATACTGCTCTACTCCTACTAAAAAGGTTCCTATGACTGGATTTACCTCTGCATGATAGAACTTCCAATTTCTTTCTCTTCATCTGGTTTTGGCAGAGATGTGAGGATAGGGAAAAGTTTATATGCCAAATTTATTCACATTGAACATGAAGTTAAAAAAAAAAAACCTTGGATGAGAATTTGGCTCAGCAGTTCAAGCCCATATTCTGGAAGAAAAGCATGCCTTGGGTCATCTAAGTAATCGATTACTCTTCCTGCTTTCCTTAAACTAAAAATGAGTTGGCTCACAAGGATAGTGCTGGGTAATGAAACTGATAATTCTTACAGGTTTTCTCGGTGGTGGCTTCAGCTGTGTTGGAGTGCCCATCTCTAAGTCTTCTTTGTCATGCTGGTCAATTAGGGCAGAAGCTGAAGTTCAACAATGGAATAGGGTTGATATTTTATTACCTAGTAATCTCTTTATTCCCCAGGGTTCATAATAACAGTTTGTTTTGGTGCATCCTTATAGTCATGTGTTTTAATTTAAAGGAGATAGAAATGTGTTTTGTACTGTATTTGTTTTACAGTTTTAACACTTTTTTGTTTTTTAAGGCAAATAGTTTTAACAGGTTGCCTATTTTTTTTTTTGAAGTTAGGCATAAAATAGTCTGCAGCAATAGAATTATTGCAAGATATAATAGGATACATTACAGGTTCAGTAACATTGTGAGTGTATCCTAATCGGTTCAGTTTTGTTGAATGGCAAAAGCCATAATTAAGTTACATGCTAGAAAAATAAAAATACATTTCATTCTATTACAGACACTAATTATATTGTTGAGGTTTTCATACAACTCTTTTAAAATTATAGTGCTGTAAATTTTTTAGAGTATTGAAAATTATTAAAGCAATCCTGTTTTACTGTAGATTACAAATGGAATGAGATAAATATTTTACATTAATGGAATTCATTTTTGTACAACTTATTGAAAAAAGCTCAAGAGAACATTTGCTACTGTAATTTATGAAAGTCCAGTTTTAAATTCTTATGAATGTATAATATGTAATTGCATTTTAATAGAACACAATAAAATCAAGACTGCAATTCTAAGTATGGTTAAGGTGCCAAACTATAAACTGGGAGATCATAAGTTCTAGTCCCACTTTACCTGTGAAAGGTAGTTAGGTGACCTTGAGCCAGTCACCACTCTGAACAGGACTCAGTTCAGAGAGTTGTTGTGAGGAAAATAGATGGAGGATGGAGGTATATTGGATATGTTTGCTGCCTTGAGTTTTTTTGTAGAATAAAAAAGATTAATCAGAGATAAACCTTATAGAATTCAATCACACTTACATCCAAGCAAGTATGTACGCCATACATTATATGTGATTACAAGCTAAATGAATTTACATTCAAACAATGTATTATATAACAATTGCTTAAATCCTTTTGAAGTTAATTGGAATGTACTGGATTATGTGGAATAAACTTGCATGACAGTTAAAGGAAAGGATACATTTATATAGATTTATATGCTTATATGACTTCCTCTTTCAAAATCTTTTAACAGATTTCATGGTGAAGGCTATCAAGATGGTTATGCTGAAGGAGTCCATGCTGGTGTTGTGGAAGGAAGGCAATATGGAATACAGCAGGGTGCCAGCATTGGCTCAGAAGTATGTTTTAAAAACTACAATTAATTTTTTGATTAAAAAAGCAGTATTCTCTTCAGTGTGTATAGGCTGAAATGTACACTAATCTCTAAGTGAACTTTGTAGTTTTTATAGCTCTGTAACCATAAACATATGAGAAATAATGTTAGTGGTTTTAAAACAAAATAAAATAATCACTTCTCAAATTTACAGATAGGGTCATACCTTGGTTTTGCACTGACGTGGCAACAGTTGCTTCAGAAAACATCAGCTGAAAAGTGCAGGTAAATTTGGGAGGAGGGGGAACCATTTGTTACCCACTGGGTTGGATCAAAATTCTGCATCTTGAATATGGAACAGCTTCTAACTGTCAAGTTATCTGATCCAGTGGGGAATTCTTATGAGAAGAATGCTGATTTGGGAGAAAGAGATTTTTGTCATTTTTCCTGCTCTGCTGGAAATTTGTTCTGGAGGATTAAGCAGTTGCTGTCATTATAAAATATGTAGAATTGGTAGCAGCAGAGAAAAAAAGAAAATCAGTAAAACACTCCCCCACCTTTTTTTCCTTTCTATCAGCAGCAGCAGCATTCTCAATGGATCTCTGTTCAATATATTATTGTTGATAGAAGGACATTTTGTATTCAAATGCTTTTCTCATGGATTTAGTTAATTTCCAGAAAAAGAACTGCTTTTCCTTTGTGTTAAAAAAGAGAGCTTAGAATGGTAGGGAAGAAAATGTTGCAAGAGCAAATGAAGAGGAAATTGGTGCCAACCTAAAATATACATCAAAGTACCTGGTGAAATTAGATTGGATATATGGGTGTGTGATGATGGAATTACATTAATTGAAATAGTGTTGAAAAAGTATCGGCAATTGTACAGGATGTTAATAATTGGATATGACTTCAGGGGTGTGCCAGCAAACATATGCAGAAACATAATAGCTTTTAGTTTTCGATGCTTTCAAGTGCAACTATGCCACTACATGGCATAGGATCCCTCAAGTAACCTGATCCTATGCCATGTAGTGCTTTATAAGGTAGCACCCTGTACCTTGAATCTCACCTGGAAGCAAACTGGCAACCAGTGCAGCTTGTGAAGATCTGTTACATAGATATCTTGAGGCATGCCTATCACTACCTGTGCTTCTGTATTGTGGACCAGATAGCTTTTCAGGGTAGCCCGTATTTAGAACATGTTGCAGTAATCAAGCTGTGATGTGACAGTGCATAAATGTGTGTCTGAAGAGCCCCAGGGGCTAGGAAAGGGTATAATGGATACAGTAGATGAACCTGGGTAAAAGCCTTTCTGGTTACAGCTGCCACATCTCACTGAGTAGATGAGTCCAGGAGACACCCCCCCCCCCAATTGTGCACAATCCTTGAATGGGGAAGAGCAACCCAATCCAAGATCAAAGTGAATACCCCCAGATCTAGGAAGTAAAAACACCTACTGCCTCCAGACACTGGGACAGAAGCTCAACACCCTCACCTGGCTGCCTCAGAATCAAAATATATAATGTATAAAATATATAATAGAGTATCATCAAAGTACTGATGATATCGAACTCCAAACTGATGGGTCATCTCAAGCAGAGGTCTCATGTAAATGTTGAAAAGGAGGGGAGAGAAAATAGAACCTGAGGCACTCCACAAATGAGAGACCTAGGGAACAATCTCTCACCACCACGTAACATCGACAGGACTAACCCCAGAGAAAGGAAGAAATTCACCATAAAATGGTGCCCCCAATGCCCCCAACCCATGGAGCTGGCTCAGGAGGACACTGTGGTTGATGCTATCAAAAGGCAGATCACTTTCCTGGCTGCTTTCATAACCTAGGAGGAACCTGGATGTAGGAAATAGTGGCCGAGTTGATGTATTTTCTCATGATTCACCATCTCAAATACATCTCAGATCATACCATTAGATTGCATCCCATTTGCTGCAGCCTGTATCACACTGAAAGTGTCTTGGAACTGGTGAACTATTCAGATTATGTGAATTTAGTTTCCATTTCCTCTTTTTGTTAAAGAGGTGATTTTTAATTGGCAAGAATCTACTACTACAGATCTGAGAGAGAAGATCAAATGTAGAAGAATATGCTTTATTATTTGGAATTCGTCATTTTCAGTTGTATGTATGGGAAGGTTGGTTTAAGTTCTACCTCATTTTTCTCAAAATAAAGTCTTAATGCTTTATAAAGTTATCTTAAGAGAATGATCTACCATTCATAGGTAGATCGTTCTAAAATTGTTCACTCATATATGATGAAATGCTACAAAACGAAGGGACATTTTCTACAGTGACTTTCATTACCTGGTGACAATGTTGCCTAGAAGTTGTGGATTTGGAGAAGGATTGAAATGATAGATTTGATACAGTGTTGACAGGGAACAAATGAATTATCACTGGTGATATGTGTTTACATCACCTGCTGCTCTATTATTAATGGATATAGAGCAGTGGTTCTCAACCTATGGGTCGGGACCCCATTTGGGGTCGATCGACCATTTCACGGGGTCGCCAAGCAAGGCTGTCCGCCATTTTTTTTGTCCGCCATTTTTTCCCCCTTTTCCAGCGGGTGCCTTACCTCCCTTGGGCTGGGCCAGCTGGTGGTCGGCCTGCTCCATCTCTGCCGCTTGCCAGCTATGCCTAGGCCGGCGCAGGGGGCGGAACCACGCATGCGTGGCGCTCCCGGGCAGGGAAAGTCCTTGACTTACGACCGGTTGGGTAGTCCTTGACTTACGACCGGTTTAGTCCTCGACTTACGACCGGTTTAGTCCTCGACTTACGACCGGTTTAGTCCTCGACTTATGACCGGTTGGGGTCACGGCATTAAAAAGGTTGAGAACCACTGATATAGAGGAAACAGTTGGAATTGATCCATATTTCTAAATAGTCTTGTTTTTATGCCAAGCTGTATAATTTGTCTTTAAAGACACCATTGAGTCTAAATACTATGTCAATGTATTATTTGAGCCTCTATTATAATAATTAATTACAATTTTATTAATGATAGTGAACAATAGTCTTGGTTTTCTGAGTTACCCATCTTGTCAGTGTGATGTTAGAACGAACAGAAGTAGTAAAATACATTAAAATAGGGCTGTATGTAGATGGACTTTGAAAATAACAGTGTGTGACATTGTTATATCAATTTTGTTTCAGTAAAAAAATAAAAGTCCTGGAGCTGTTAATAGAGATGATTCAAAACTTTCCTTTGGAAGATCCAGCTTATGACAAACTTCAAGATGACTTGGAGAAAATTAGGGGACGGTTTAAACAAGTATGTGTCCAATTTCATTATTGGAATACAAACTGTACTCAGCATGTGTTCAGAAAGAATAACATTATTGTAATGAAACATAACCGGAACAGAGGAGGGTAATATTTAATCTTTAATTAAAGTATTAACATTTCTAAACTTCTTTTTTTTTTTAGATTTGCTCATTATTGCATATTCCATCTGATTTAAGACTTGATTCTGAGAGAATTTCATTTTCATTTTGAAAGCAACATAAAAAGAAAATTGCCGTTGGATATAAAAAGTGGTTACATCTCACACAGAGTGATCATCTTTTCTTTTCTATCCACTGAGCAGAAAACTACAAGGATAAAGCTGATTTTATTCTACTTGAATTGTATCACTGTATCATTGTTTCAGTTTGCACATTCAAGCCCAACTATGGCTTCAGCCTGTTGGTTAACATACTGTTCCAGAAACTAATGTTACACATTATTAGAGAAGAAAATTGATCTATGGAACATCAGCTAAATAGTGTTATTTTTTTTTCTTCTGTTCAATTGCGTCCGATTCTTGGAGATAGGCTGAAAAAGTCCCTGCAGTTTTCTTAGCAAGAATTTTTCAGAAGTGATTTCCCCTTGCCTACTTCCTAGGGCTGAGAAAAGTGACTGGCTCAAGGTCATCCAGTTGGCTTCGTGCCCAAGGTGGGAGTAGAACTAAAGATCATCTGGTTTTTAGCCTGAAGCCTTAACCATTATACCAATCTGACTCATTAATGACCTATTGCCACCGTTTATATTGAAAAGATGACTGCAAGTAGTCCTCAACTTATAATCACAATTCGGACTGGAACTTCTGTCACTAAGTAATTTTTTTTTTTAAGTGATAAACACCCCATTTTATGATCTTTTTTGCTGTAGTCAGTAAATCAATAGTTAAGTGAATCCATCTTTCCCCATTGAGTTTGCTTATTGGAAGTCAACTGGAAAGATTGCAGATGGCAATCATGTGACCTGGGAAAACTCCAGCTGTTATAAGTACATGCCAGTTGCCAAGTGCCCTAATTTGGGTCACATAACTGTGAGGTTGTTGCAGCGTTCGTATATCACTTTTTTCAAGTGCTGTTGTAACTACAGACATTCACCAAATGAATAGTTGTAAGATGAGGATTGTCTGTAAAGCATTTTAAGGATTTTTAAGTAGATTTTGTAAACACTCTGAAGAGTGCCTTCCTAAAATTGGCATTCTGTAGGAAGTGAGTAAAATACATATTTCACTACATTAGTGCAAAACCCACACATTTGAAACATGTTATCAGTATGTCTGTAGTTTTACAAGTGTATCTCAGATGGGATGTGTTTTATTTGTAAATTAATTTTGGAGGTTTTAATTTTCCAGATAAACTGATTTTTGGTCAGTAGCTTTCTTTTTAGGAACAGTAGTAATCACCATTGTTATAAAAATGCTAAGATAAATTTTTAAAATCAACTTTATTTGGAAGAAATACAGATGAGGACCTGTAGAGAATTTTGTAGCTTGCAGAAAGGGACTTCAGAGGCCAATCTGGCACACTCCTGCGCATTTTATAAATAATTTTAATAGACAAGGTAAAATTCATTTGGCTTGTGGGCATGTTTTGTTATGTCCTGTTTCCCTCTTATTATTTTCCTATCCTTTGGTAGTTTAGAGGAAATAAGTGGCAAAATTAACTCTGCCAGTCCAAAAACAGGCTGCTGTATGAATTCTTTTCTTTTATGCCATCCCTTTGAAATTGCCCAAGGAACAGTATATTTATGTATTTATTCATTTTTAAAGCATGCATGCTGCATCTCAGGCCCAGGTCTTCCTGGGATGGTTTACAATGCATAGAGACACCATATGAGAATAATATTTAAAATACAGTACTACAATCAGTGCAGTAGTAAAGCAGGAAGAGTTCCAATGCAGCATTTATTTACCAAATCCTGCAGCTAAAGGCTCTTTTGCCTGGCACTGAAAACAAAAAAAGGCAGCTGAAGGGGACCAGGGTTAAAATGTTGTTTTGAAGTGACAAATGTTTTCCTTCTTGCTTTAGAGTCCAAAGATCTACTAAGCTCCTGTCTTCAATATGCTGTACTTGCTTTTTAAATAAAAACTTTAGTGTATTTATCGTTCCTTGTGAACAACATTATAGTAACTAAATCATGGGGGATCCAAGACTTCCACTCCTTGCACTGCATTGCTGTGTTGGTTGTATTTTGCTGCTTTGGACTGAGAAGGATCACGAGAAAACTGAATTGTGTTAAAATCCTACTAGATAGGATTTTGCTGTACCTGTGATTAAGATTAACTTTAAATTATTGAGATGTTAGAAAACACTGATTAGGGCCACCTAGTGGGAAAAATAATTACATCAGCTTTAAAATTCCAATGTTTTCGTTAAAAATGGTAAACAGTTTTAATTAAATCGGCTTTAGGAAGAAAGTTTTTGTTTTAAAAAATGGAAGTGCAATAACTGAGACGGTATTTACGGAAACAGTTGAATGTTCTTTGTATATTCAATGGTAAATCTGATGCTTTACCTGTAACTGAAATTATATTCATAATTGTACTCTGTTAGTATTATCTGTTGTATTGATTATAAGGTTGGCCAAATTTTACTGCCTGCTGTGTGTTATGTTCTCATATTTGTACTAAAATATTTTTTTCTTCAAAGTGATTCTTGTGGTAATTCAGTCTGTTACTTAAAATGGCCATTATCAAAAACATTGATAATATTTTTACTTCAGAGAAAAAGAAAATTAATAAAAACACTAATATGGAAACATAAAAGAAAATCCTATGAAGAGAGCCCTTAGTCATATACCTATGTAAGTGGAGTCTAGAAAAGCAGTTGATAATATGGTTGATTTGCAATCAAAATACGTGCTTTTCAAGAATTCTTTTTAATCTTCCAGAAACACTTTTGCATAATATAAGGAGGAAGCAAAAGATAGAGTGTTCCTTGCAAATAGTTCTTTGTTCAAATACTATGATAAGAAAAGTTTGTGACACTGGAACAAATGTCATTTTGAAGGTGTCATTTTTAAAAATATGACTTTTTATACATCAACACAGTTACTAGTCAAATTATAACACAAAATCAGTTGTGGGTTTCTAAAGTTAGTGACTTAGGTTTATATATCAAATTACCTACTATTAAATACCAAAACCTAATTATTTTTTTAAAAAGCTAAAACTTTTTTTAAAAAGTTTTTAAAAAACTGTTACATTCAGTGTAAGTAGCTCATTTTGGTGGAAAGGAGAAAAATTAGTAACAAAACCAGCTGCAAAAATTGTTTAGAAAAGGTGTTGTTGGTTGCCTTATATGAACTTGATTTACACAACAGAGATTAATCTAAGTTTGAAAGGTGTCTGAAACCTAAGATCCATAAATGCTTTTATATCTACCCCATTGTTCTTCATGCTACCAAATTAAATATACACCATGCCAAGTGCATAATGTCTTTTTCCAGGCGGCACTTTTAAGGTAAAGATTTAATTATATCAAAGACTGTACAGGGAGTAACACAACCCAGATCATTAACATGTATAAGAAATTACTCCCTTGTTTAAGAATTTGCAATAATGTTTGACACAGACAAAAATGACCCTTCTGCTTTGATCCTAAATAGTGTATTGCCTTTTGTTTTCCTATCTACTATGCAGTACATTCAACCAAATAGCTGTTTTAATAATCAGGGGGAAATGTTTGAGTATTTATTGAGATTTAGAATAAACTCTTTTTAAAAACATAACTGTGATGCTTTGCTTGACTTGGTGTAGCACATCTCATTTTGCATTGAATTTTGTGTTTCTTCTCTGCCCAATACCTGAAGACTTTGAAATAGATTGTCAGAATATTTATAAAAGACAGTGAAAATAGTCAAATGCAACAAATACATAAATAGTATGAGAAAAATATAAAACATTTCATTGAACACTAGGCAGTCAGACTTTTTTCAAACTGTAGAAAAGCCACTCAAAAAGTAATGTTTTCATTTAGCCTACATTGTCCTGAAGAAAGCATTTCATAAACAGGGCTCATAAGGACCAGGGGTAAAGAAATAAGGGAGAAGGTTTTGCTTAAGATTTTCTAGCTTGCTACCAAAGTCTTTTAATGTCGGGACCAATATCTCAAAGAGGACCTGTAAGTTAATTGACTGCTAGCAAAGGACTGACAGAATGGCTATATCACTTATTTCTAGTTAATAAACATGCAGTTTTATTTAAATTAAGTTTCCAAACTATCTTCTCATACATATCCCAAGGCTGCAAAGGAGAGGTTACTGATAGAAGGGATGGCAGGATGGCAGACTTCAAAAGAGGGACTATTGGTAAATCAATCTGTTGATACAGTTAGCTTTTTCCAATCTATGTCCTTATGAACTGTTGGACTGCAGTTCCCATACGTATTGGATGAGACGTCCCGTTATCAGTATAGCTATTGACATGAAGGAATATAAGATACCTAGGGAACATTGTGGTGGGATTCATGCAAATTAATACTGTACATTGTTCTTTCTAGTATTTTCAATCTTTTCTTTATGTACTTTTCTGCCCCAACCCACCTAACAAAATGGAAGAGGGAGAAAGTAATTATATTTGTGCAATTTTTATTTTACCCAGCATAGAAACCATTTTCACTACTATGATTCATCTTGTCCTTTTCTGCACCTTCTCTAGGTTGTTTAAACTGGGGGCCTTAAATATGTGTAACATTCCAGCAGGAGTCAGGAGTTGGTCAGATTCAGACCCTGCATCTGTATAGGCAGGACACTTCTGGCAATATTCTTTTTTTATTATTTTCCTCCTGAATTCGCCTTTTTCTTAGCAATTACAATCTGGATAGTTTTCATGGAGCTATCAATTATAATCCCAAAACTCTTGACCCGTCACTTTTTGGGCCTCAGGAAGCACACCTGAATTCAAATGGCTCTCTCATCCTGATGGCATTCCAGAAGTTCTTAAAGAATGTCCTCCCAGGCTTTGCAGTAGGCTGGATGGAATCCCGTGTTCAGATGCATTTGTCGTACATTTTGATATTAATGTTCCAGATTTGCCCTTTTATTCATTTCTCTTGTGTGTGTTTTGCATTTATCTTGTTATTTATTTATTTATTTGTTTATTGTACAGTATTTGTTTTTTTATATTGTGAACTGCCCAGATTTGGTCCAAATTTGGCCAGTGTCAAACTTGAATTCATTCATTCATTAGAGATCTTCAGCAAACCCAGCCATCTTATTGTTTATCTCAATTGCAGATAATTTATGAATACAGTAAATTTAAAAAAAAATCATTAGTCCCAGCAATGCCCTGATCCTTCAGTTTGCACAAATTGACTACTCCCCCACCCAGTCTTTGTAATTAAATTAGCTTAATGACTAATTTAATCTTCTCAAACCCCATGACTTCTAGGTCTACTCATGAGTCTCGCACGTACCTTGGTGAAAAGCCCTTTGTAAACCCAGTACAATTGATCTTGTAGACAATCATCTGAATCCATGTTTGGTGACATTCTCGAAGAGTTAGTGAGACTGAAGATATCTATGAAAGATACAATTTCCTATTAATTTTTTCATTAAGGCAACAGTCTAGAATCCAGGAGTTCTAGGCATGAAAGATGGCTGGGTGACTTTGGGCCAGTCACTCTCTCTCAGCCCAACTCACAGGGTTACTGTTATGGGGAAAATAGGAGGAGGAAAGAGTATTAGGTATGTTTGTTGCCTTGACTTAATTATAAAAATTAATAAAGGTAGGATTAAAAAAAATTAAACCCTGGTTTCATCATGTTCCATGTGTCTTAAAGATAAACCTATTTTAATGTCTCTGGGAAACAATAGCTAGAACTTTTGTCCTGACAACACCAAATATTCTCTTCCCTCCAGTGAAACAGAATTTTGATAAGTAAGTAATACCAAATGAAACAATGGTAGTGGCATTGAGTCTTCCTGTTTTTAAGAATATTAATGAATGCAATGTATGATGCTTAAAAATATGCTCTTTTAATAGTTCTACAAAATGGGAAAATTAACAGTGGTTTTTCCTTGCATTTGAAACACAGATGCTTTTCAGAAATATGTGGAAGATAAATGAAGTTTATAATTCAGGAGCTAGGGTCTAATCAATATTGCATGGAATCTTTTTTGAATGTGAATCAGCAGGTCTTTAATTTTTTTAGTTGGTGCTATTGTTCCAACAGCAAGCTTTACTGCTATTGTCCAGTGTTTGTCCAGCTCACGTTTACTGGACTGTGGGAACGGATTAGGGTTTCATGGTTTCTTCCCCCTTCTTGCATAAATGCTTGATCAAAGACATTCCTTGGATGACAAAACACTGTATACTGTGTCACACAGTCCTGACCAGACTGCATGAACAGTAGCTTAAAAACACATGCCCACATTGTTCTCTAACAAGCTATTTCTTTTTTCTTTTTAAAAAAGGACAACAAATTTAGATTTAGGCACACTTAAAAAAAATAAAGACTTAGTGTACTATTTTCTATGCATACATCTATATCTCTCATCTGTCGTCTTACAAATCTGATTATTGTTTCTACAAATGCAACTCTCCACACAGTAAAATCAAAATAGAAATAGTGAATAATTATTAATATATACAGTCAAGTATTAAATATGATAAAAAAAATTACCCTGATTTCATTTCAATGATTCTGAAGCAGCTTGCAACAGAATATAGCATTTAAATGCAAAATGTGTCTGGTTGGAAAAGGAGCAAAAAAAAAAAAAAGCTAGGATGGGAATTGGGAGTAATATTAAAACCCCTCTCTGGTGTTTTAATGTTACTGCTATCCTCACAGCCTATAGGAAATGTGGAGAAAATTGCCTTCTGATGCCTAGGAATATTTCTGCTGACCATCATTGGATATAATTGGTACTAAAGCACTTTCTTCCAGGTTTCTGCCCTATGATTGTTAAGACTTGTTGAGTCTTTCGATTGTTTCCAAAACCCTAACTTGAGCTCCATTTAACCAGGATTGTCTATCAGTAACTTTGAATTCTAAGCACATGTTTATATCATTGGTTATAGTACCTATCCATCTTATTTTCTGTTGGCCTCTTTAATTTTTTTCCAGACATCAGTGTCTTCTTTAATGACTATAGTATTTGCATTAGGTGTCCAAAATAGATAAAGCTTTCTTCTTTTTTTATAATATATTTTATTTTTTTAACACGGTCACTTTAATATTCGGTAAACAGCGTGTTGTCTGGGTTTACATTTAAAAAACATAAGCTAACAATTGGTTTCTATGATCTATAATCCACATAATAGCTTTACTTGATTTCCTCTTCTTCCCATAATGTTCTCTTTTACCAACCTTAAGTTAATACAATTCTTATTGTTTTGATAGATAACAATTGAGTATAATTTTTTTTCTAATATTTCCGCAAATAATAATCACATCAATATAATATTTCTTTTCTATCTAGTCATTCTGGTTGCCTCATCATAGATCCCGTTTACAGTTCTTGTTTACATTTGTTTTTCCCACAATGTTCAAAACATTCTTACTGGTTAAGATTTTCTCAAAGTTAATTACTAAATATTTGATTCTATTTTTTCTCATGTAAACCATCCCATAACTTTTACCTTACTTAAGGAATAAATAAGACTAAAAGAAGGGGAAAAAAGAACAAGAGTAAAGAGGGATAAAAAGATAGTATACTACTGAAAGTCCGTGTTTCCTCTAAGCTAATACATATTTATTTCCAAAGATTTTCAATTCTTTTTTTTTACCATAATTAAGAATATATTTAATCTTTAAATATTCCATTTAATAAATCTAGTCATCTGATCTAACTCTTATTCAAAACATTTTTAATCCATTGTAATTTTCTTAAAATCAATCACATTTAAATATCTAAAATAAATCCTTATATATAAGCCATTCTAACTCTTTTATATTACTCATATCAAGAAATAAGATAAGAAAAGAGAAGAAAGAGAGAATACTCTATTATTTGAGGGACTCCTCTCTCTTAAAGTAAAATTCATATCCAAAATCTTTCTCTTAATTTAACCATATTCAAACAGGTGTTTCTTTTTTAAATATTCTCTCTGATAAGTCCCATCATCTATTTTCTTAATTTTCACTTTGGCCTTCTTTTGCCCAATATCTTAATCAATATATTCTGCTGAATCAAAGAGTCTTTCCATATTCTTGTAGATGTCATTGTAGATATACAAAACAAGTCAAGTACAATATCTTTGTAAGAGGCTATTTGCTCTTTCATGTTGGTTGAAAATCTTTTTCTTTCTTTTTCTCTCTATATCTCTTATCATTTTTTGTCTCTCCAGTTCTAGTGGTGTTTCCTGACGTCTCTGCAATCCATTTTGATCAGTCTTTTTTCATATCCTCAAATTTGTCTTGTGATCTTAAAGTATAAATTACCTTTTCCAAAACCAATATTTCTTGTAAATTGTTTTCCACTTGGGTTAAATCATGCTTCTTTGTTGTGTTAAGTTCCGTCTTTGAATCTCTATCCTCAAATTTGTGTTCAGTTATCTGTTTTATCTGCTCCTTCTCTATTGTTATTTCCTGGGATTTTTGTTGTTGTAAAGTTAAATTGGAGATGAATTGGTTTATGTTTTCAAAGTTATTTTGGATTTCTTTGTGGTTTGAAGTCATTGTTGTTTGAATTAGTTGCAGCATCTCATATTCTCCTCTTGAAAGGTATTTATTTTTTCTTGATAAGTTCTTTCTGCAAGTCTCTGATTTTCCATAGTGGTCAAGAAT